GATTCTTTATTTAAAGTTTATCATTAGCACCTTCGTCTAAGATTAGTTGGTTGTAGATTTTTACCTTTTGTTTCTAGTCTATGTATCTTCTTGTATTGGCCTATGTGGTTTGTTTTTTGTTTGTTTGTTTTCATGAATCCTAACACCATGTTGTTTCACCTATAACAGCTTTTTAGTATATTTCAAAGCCAGGAATTAGTGTGTTTCCAGATTCATTATTCTTGTGCAAGATGGATTTGGGTATTTGGAGTTTTCTATTTTTAGGATATTTTTCTGGTCCTGTGAAAAAAATACCAAGTGTTTTACAGATCACTTTGGTAGTGAGGATAACTTGATGATGTTAATTTTTTCCCATATGTGTACCCTCTTCAGTTAGGTGTCCTATTTTAAGACAAGTATAAGACATGCAGGGATTACCTATTTGGAAGAATTTTATAGAGAAATGTACTGATATTTATATGCTGCTTTCTTTTATTGAAAATAGATTTGTTTTTCTCACACAATATATCATGATTACAGTTTCCCTTCCCTCAACTCCTTCCCAGTCCCTCCCCAGCTCCTCACCCATCCGGACCTAGCCCCTTTCTGTCTTTCATTAGAAAACTGACTTCTTTTTTATTTTATTGAGCTCGACATTTTTATCTGCTCACCTCGCTTCCTCTTTCCTCCCCTTCATCCCTTTCCCATGGTCCCCATGCTCCCAGTTTACTCAGAAGATCTTGTCATTTTCTATTTCCCATGAAGATTAGATCCATGTATGTCTCTCTTAGGGTCCTCATTGTTGTCTATGTTCTCTTGGATTGTGAGCTGATTTTCTTTACCTCATGTCTAAAAACCACTTGTGAGTGAGGACATAGGATATGCTTCTAGGTCTGGGTTACCTCACTCAATATGATGTTTCCTAGCTCCATCCATTTTCCTGCAAATTTCAAGATGTTATTTTTTTCTGCTGTGTAGTATTCCATTGTGTAAATGTACCACATTTTCCTTATCCATCCTTCGGTCGTGGGGCATTTAAGTTGTTTCCAGGTTCTGGTTATAATAAACAATGATGCTATGAACATAGTTGAGCACATGTCCTTGTGGTACGATTAAGCATCCTTTGCATACACACCTAAAAGTGGTATTACTGGGTCTTGAGAAAGATTGTTTCCTAATTTCCTAAGAAATAGCCACACTGATATCAAAAGGGGCTGTATCAGCTTGCACTCCCACCAGCAATGCTGGAGTGTTCCCTTTGCCCCACAACCTCTCCAGCATAAGTTGTTATCACTGCTTTTTATCTTGGTCATTTTTACAGGTTTAAGATGGAATCTCAGAGTTGTTTTGATTTGCATTTCTCTGATGACTAAGGATGTTGAACATTTTTTTAAGTGTCTTTCAGCCATTTTAGATTCCTCTTTTGAGAGGTCTTTATTCCATTTTTTATTGGATTATTTGTTCTTTTGACGACCAATTTCTTGAGTTCTTTGTATATTTTGGAGATCAGACCTGTGTCTGATGTAGGGTTAGTGAAGATCTTTTTCCATTATGTAGGTTGCTGTTTTGCCTTATTGACCATGTTCTTTGCTTTACAGAAGCTTCTCAGCTTCAGGAGGTCCCATTTATTAATCATTTCTCTCGGTGTCTGTGCTACTGGGGTTAATAGGAAGTGGTCTCCTCTGCCGCATTCAAGTATACTTACCACTTTCTCTTCTATCAGGTTAAGTGTGGCTGGCTTTATGTTGAGGTCTTTGATCCATTTGGCCTTGAGTTTTGTGCATGGTGATAGATATGGATCTATTTTCAGTCTTCTGTGTTTTGATATCCAGTTATGCCAGCACCATTTGTTAAATATGCTTTTTATTTTCCATTTTATATTTTTTTGCTTCTTTGTCAAAAATCAGGTGTTTGTAGGTGTGTGGATTAATATCTGGGTCTTCGATTCGGTTTCATTGGTCCTCTTGTCTGTTTTTATGCCAATACCAGGCTGTAGAAAACAAACTTCTTAGTGACTAATGAAATAAAAGCTGGGTGGTGGTGGCGCATGCCTTTAATCCCAGCAGAAGGATCTCTGTGAGTTTGAGGCCAGCCTTGTCTACAAGAGCTAGTTCCATGACAGACTCCAAAGCTACAGAGAAATCTTGCCTCAAAAATAAAAAAATAAATAAATAAATAACAAAATAAAATAAGATAAGATAAAACAAAAACTAACACATTAGAATAAAACAAAACAAGCAGAAGGAAAGACCCCAAAGTACAATAAACAGATATAGACTGAGAGACACACTCATTTTCACATGCAGGAATCCCATAAAAAAGAAAAACTGATATCCATAATAAATGAAGAACCTGAAGGTTAAAAAGAAAGGAAAGTTTAAAATTCATATAAATAAAATAAAAATAAGATAAAAAAAATCCCTGACAAAAAACCTCCAAAGATACCACTGAGTTCATTTTCTGTTGTCCATCTACTTCTGGGCATGCAGTCTAGCCTTGAGAGTAGGTTGTTTTCCCAGTGAGACTGCCTTGGGGAAAAAAAAACTATATTATTTGCAAGCAGTTATCAATTGGAGATTACATCTGCATTAGGGACAGGGGCTTGTATCCATTTTTCTTTTCAGATCTAGGTCACCATCTGGAGCAGAGCCTTTGCAGGTCCTTTGAATGTGCCTCAGTCTCTGTGAGTTCATATGAGCTTTGCTCAGCTGATTTAGAGGGCCTTGTTCTCCTGATGTCCTTCATTTCCTCTGGCTCGTACTCTCTTTCCATTTCCTCTTCTACAGGGTTCCCTGAGCTCTGAGGGAGGATTTGAAAGAAACATCCAGTTTAGGACTGAACGTTCCAAGATCTTTCCCTCTCTGCATATTGTTTGACAGTGCGTCTCTGTATTTGTTCCCCTCTGCTACAGAAGGAAGATTCTTTGATGATGACTCCAACGATGGCTGAGTAAGGCACTGATCTAGGAGTAAAGCAGAATACCATTAGAAGTCAGGTTTTTTTTGCTACATTGTTTTAGTAGGACAGTAGTATTTGGTTTTTTCCTAGGTCCCTGGGCTATCTAGTCCCAGGTTCTTGGTCATCTAAGTAGCACCAAATATGAGTTCCATCTTTTGGAGTGAGCCTTAATTCAAAGCCGATATTGGTTGGTTACTTCTACAAACTTTGTGCTACCATTGCCCTAGCATATTCTGCAGGCAGGACACCATTATATAACAAACAGTTTGTGGCTGGCTTGTTATTTGTATTTCTTTTTTGGTAGCCTGCAGAGTACCTTCCAAAGACACTAGCATATAGGATCAATATATGCATCAACTCAACTTCTCTATGTTCAATGAGTTCTGTTGGTATTGTCTTCAGCAATAGGGCTATGTCATCAGGAAGTTCCCATGGGATCCCTTTGGCCTACAACTCAATTAGATGTATTCCATTCTTGGTACTGAGAGCTTCATTTGGTAGCGAGATGTCTAGTTGGGGCTCTGTCTCCTCCATTATTTGGCAATTTCATTTAGATTATTGATGTGGGATTCCCCTCTGTGTGCTATGAATATGTTTTATTGCCATTGGTTAATAAAGAAGCTGCTTTTGGCCAATGGCTTAACAGAATATAGCCAGGCTTAAAAAGATATAGAGAGAGAGTAGACAAGAGTCAGTGAGACACCATGTAGCTGCCAAAGGAGAAAGACGTAAGCTGCCAGCAGGACCTTGCTGGTATGCCACGAGCTTCATGGTAAAATATAAAATAATAGAAATGGGTTAATTTAAGATGTAAGAGCTAGCTAGAAATACACTTAAGCTAGAAATACAGTATTGCAGTTAATATAGTTTCAATGTGATTATTTCACATCTGAGTGGCTGGGAAACGAACAAACAGGACAACATCTTCATATATGTATACATTTTGAGAAATTTCTAAGGTATTAGGTTTCCATATTACCCCTTAAATAGCCCCGAATTTTAGTTATCTCTCCCCATATTCCCTCTTTCATCTCCTCTTTACAATTCTTTCTCACTTTTTTCTCCCATTCCAGTGTCCCCCATCCCACCCAATCCATTCACAACTATCTATTCTATTTCACTTTCTTTTTTTAATGATAAATTCTAAGGTCAAATTTTATTTCTACAAAAAAAGGCAATGGAAACACTATAAAACACATTAAAAGGATATTACTGAGTGAGCTTCAGGTGAGCTTGATCCTGGAAAGGCTGAATCCAAAGGGAGGGAAAGGCCGCCCTGTTCCTGGGCTGCACCAGCAGCTGCTCTGAGGAAGGGGCAGCTGGTTACAAACCAGAAGCCACCAATGCTGATCCCACAAGATGCAAACCATGTGGAGAACGACAGTGGTGGCCTACTGTGCTGAGGAGTGGGGGCTCCTTGGCACATCTCAGCAGAGCTTGGTGGTGGAGAAGGTTGAGATTTCAAAAGAATATTCTGGCTTTTGCCTTGACCTGGGATAACCAGCAGGTCATCTGCCACAGCTGCAGGGAGGGCTGCTGACTGGAGAGAATTCATCACACAAGGGCACAGTGTTCTCTGCTCCAAGCTCACTACAAAGTCAGCCTGACCACGGGATCAGAGCGTGGAGTCTGCCCGTTGAGTCTGTTACTGTGGAAACACTTTGCTAAGATTTTATGTAAAAGCAGCTTCCCTTTGCACAGACATTCTTTTGCGGGGGTTGATATTGTTTCATAATCTTTTGTAAGTACATTACTAAGATGGCATTAGTGGACTTGAGCTATCTCCCACAGGCAGTGTGGCACAGGAGAAGGGTTGCTGCTTCTGTGGGAGCTGGGGCCTTAGTCTGTGGAAGTGGGATTGAAAAAGAAGAAGGCGATGGGGAGAGGGAATCACAACTCTTTTTTTAAACATTTCAGGCTAACTGTACCTTTGAGTCTCGGCAGGAAAAGAAATGGCATTCTTTCGAAGTAGACTAAAGCAGTGATTTTTAAAACAAAGCAAGCCGAACTAGAACATGTGAATTTTTTAATCCTTCTTTACAGGTTACCTAGACCACTTTTGATTAAGAAAACTGTAGAAAGTTAGTAACTGCCAGGTGGTGGCACGTGTTAATTTTCCACAGAGTCCTGCTTTGCGGGGTATCTGAATGCACTGCTCGGGGGCTCTGCTCAAACTTGCTGGAATCGTCCACAGGTCTCTTTTCCCCATATTTCTTTGTAAACTCTTCAGCATTCTTACAGAATTTTTTATGGTCCTTAGAGTATTCTTCAGCTAGGTCAGCCTGGAGTGGGTGCTCAGGCTGAGGGTCGTTCACCAGTGCTATGAGGGACTGGATTACTTGGTCAGTTTTGGTGGCTGGCTTCCAGTTTTCAGCACAGATTACCGGCAGACAGACCTGCCCCTTCTCATCAATGTTAGGGTGGTAGATCTTGGTTTTAAATGTGATCTTGGGTGATTTGAATGGATACTCTGCTGGAAAGTTTATTTCAATTCTGAAGGCCCCCTTGTCATATGGAGGGTTGTCCTTCATCAGCCTCCTGCTGCCCGCCATCTTGGATCTGGTGCTCTCTATTTCACTTGCTTATGGAGACCTATCTATCCCCCACGTCCCTAGTATCTTACTCTATATGTAATTTCAGTAGTTACACAGATTATAACTTGTTTATCATTGATTTAATAGTTAATATCCACATATAAGCGAATACATACAATATTTGTCTTTCTGTGTTTCTGTATTTGGAATACCTCACTCAGGATGATTTTTTTTCTAGTTTCATCCATTGACCAGTAAGTTTTTTGGGGGGAGGGTGGTTTTTCCTAATAGGACTTCTCTGTGTAACAGCCTTGGCTGTCCTGGAACTCACTCTGTAATCTAGGCTGACTTTGAACTCTCATAGACATCCATCTGCCTCTGCCTCCTGAGTGCTAGGATTAAAGGTGTGAGCCACCACACCTGGATATAGTTTCATTTAACAGTAACATTCCATTGTATAAATGTAGCACAATTTTATCCATTCTTCTGTTGAGGGACATCCAAGCTGTTTCAATTTCTGTGTATTATGAATAGAGAAACAATGAACAAGGTTGAGCACATGTCCCTGAGATAGTATGAAGCATCCTTTGGGACTATGCCCAAGAGTGGTATAGCCAGATCTTGAGGTAGATTGATTCCTAATTTCCTAAGGAAAAGACACATTGATTTCAGTAGTGACTGTACAAGTTTGCACTTGCACTAGCAATGAATGAGTGTTCCCCTTATTCCACATCCTCACCTGTGTGAGGTCTTTTGTTTTATTGATCTTAGCCTTGCTGAACGGTGAATTTTCAGTTTCTGTGAGGTGTTAAGCCTTCTGTTGTTTCTGTTGTGCTGATATTCAGCTTTAATCTATAGTGGTCTGACAGGATGCCAGGGGTTATTTCAGTTTTCTTGTATCTGTTGAGACTTGCTTTGTGTCTGAGCATGTGGTCAGTTTTGGAGAAAGTTTGGTGAGGTGTTGACAAGAAGGTATATTCTTTTGTCTTTGGTTGAAATGTTCTGTAAATATCTGTTAGGTCTGTTTGGTTTATAACATCTGTTATATTCAACATTTCTCTGTTTAGTGTTTTTTTCTGGATGACCTGCCCATTGGTGAGAAGTGCGGTATTGAAGTTTATTATTCACTATTAGTGTGTGAGGTTCAATGTGTAATTTAAGCTGTAATAGTGTTTCTTTTACAAACTTGGGTGTCCTTGAGTTTGGCTCATAAATGTTAAAAACTGTTATGTCCTCTTGGTGGATTTTTCCTTTGATGAGTAAGTAGTGTCCTTCCTATCTCTTCAGATTAGTTTTGCTTTGAAGTCTATTTTGTCAGATATTCTATTAGCCTATGTTATTTTTTACTGGGGCATTTAGACCAGTAATTTTGAGACATATCAATGAGCAGTGTTTGTTCATTCCTGTTATTTTGTTGTGGTGGTGATTATGTGTGGTTCCCCTCTTTGGATTTGCTGGTTTGAGATTGTTTATTCCTTGTGCTTTCTTGGGTGTGGTTGACCTCTTTAGCTTGAAGTTTTCCTAATACTTCTGTAGGACTGGGTTTGTAGATATATACTACTTAAATTTTGTTATATCATGGGATGTCTTATTTTCTACATTTATGGCAATTGAAAGTTTTGCTGGATATAGTAGCCTGGGCTTGAATCTGTGGTCTCTTAGAGTCTGCAGCACATCTGTCCATGCCCTTCTGGCTTTTAGAGTCTCTGCTGAGATGTCAGGAATAATTCTAACAGGTCTGATTTTATGTTACTTGATCTTTTCCCATTGCAGCTTTTAATATTCTTTCTTTGTTCTTTGTTTAGTGTTTTGATTATTATGTGCTGAGTGGGCTTTTTTTTCTATTCCCGTCTATTTGGTGTTCTGTAAGGTTTTTTTTTAACCTATATATATATAAAATATCTGTAAGTTTCTTGTACCCATATAGGCATATCCTTCTTTGGGTCAGAGAAATTTTCTTCTGTGATTTTGTTAAAAACATTTCCTGTTTGTTGACCTAGGTTTCTTCTCCTTCCTCTATTCCTGAAATAGACCATTTTAAAAGAAATTTTGAGATGAACTTAGAGGAAAATCAAGGCCCAAGAAAAAGAAATCGTTACATGAAAACTTTAGCCTGTTTTGAGATGGAGATAATTTTGTAAAAAATCAGAACAAGATACTGTGAGTATAGCATGTTGAAATAAGAGCGGCGGGGCTGCGTCCCCAACACCCCGGCCGCTTGGCTAGCTTATGCCCGAAATAACAACACACAAACTGTATTCATTTAAAGAACTGCTTGGCCTGAACTCTAGCCCTTACAGGATAATTCTCACACCTGGACTAGCCCATTTCTAATAATGTGTGTAAGCACTCCAAGGTGCGCTTACCGGGAAGATTCTAGCCAAAGTCCATCGTGGTGTCTCTGCTCCAGAGAGCAGAGCTCTTGGGTCTACCCGGGAGAGCTGAGCATGGCGTCTCTCCAGGAGCAGAGCAGAGTCTGACCTCACTTCCTCTTCCGCCCAGCATCCTATTCTGTTTATTCCTCCCACCTATGTTCTAACCTATCAGGGCAAGCAGCTTCTTGATTTAATTAACCAATGAAATCAACAGATATATGACACTCCCACATCA